TCCTGCTGATGAACCACATGTGTCAGTGTGATGACACATGATGGAATATTTATTTGCTTAGAATTTTTTTAAAAGAAAGAGCTTTTTGTGTAACTAACTTGATCCCCTTCTAGGCATGCATTATGGTGCAGTACTTAAGCATGTAGTAAAGAAGCCAGTTGTCTGCAGGACTCCAACCACATAGTTACACACCTTCCAACTTCTGCAGCAGAAGTCTGGGGTCTTGCAACAGCAACCGTCGTTAGTACACAGTTAAAGGCTACATATGCACATGGGAGCCTAGATAAAGTTGCTCAGGCAACTGGCATGCTTGCATGTTCTGAATGTTGACTGCTTGATCTTGCAACTGTAACAAAGTTGTTATGTAAGGTAGCTTTCTGTGTTGAATGCACGCACAACGTGCAGATTTTGTAGTTGCAAAATGGAACTCTAATCACAGGCTAAGTTGGAGTTTCCCAACCTTTTCCATCCCACGGCACACTGGCTGGATGCGGGGCAGGGGTAGGGGGGGGTGCTGAGCATTCAAATGCAGAAGGAGGGGAGGGGGGGAGTATTGGTGTGGGGCTGGCCGGGGCCACACCCCCCAAGATTCTGTGGCACACCTGGACATGGCCGACGGCATACCAGTGTGCTGGACATGGCCGACAACACGCCATTTGGTAAACACTGGGCTAAGTAGAGACAGTTAAAAAGCCCAAGGCTGAATCAATTCAGTCTTTGCCAGTTAGCCTAAGCTGTGCAGATTGAACTACTAAGCAAATGAACAGACATACACTTTAGACTCTGCAAGTGCAGCCACATGCCTGCAATGGCTCAGGCCCCCAGCTAGGGGGGTGCTAGAGCACACCTCTTTACTCTGCTGGAGCAGGCAGCTTGGGCCAAGGCTAGCCCACCCCCCCTGTTGGGGCGGGGGGGGGGGGTTGCAGGGGAGGTGCAAAGCATCCTGGGATGCTGGGGGACTGTGGGTTAACTTGAATCTGGAGGGGATCTGGGACAGAAGTTCAATAAACCATTTTAACATAAGTGAATGAAGTCTGATACTGCATCCATCCAGGTTTATCTTAAGCCAGTTTTCACCATTTTGTAAGTGATTTATGTGCACTGAGCTTCTGTTGTGTTACAGATTTGAACCAGTTTCCAATCACTTATACCAGTGTGTGTGCAAGTTCTGTCCCTAGCTGTAAAATTAATAGAACATATGATGTGCTTCTGTTTTGTTTGTTTAACTATATGTGACCAGGGCATGAGTGCTTTAAGTTGTTCTGTGGAGGATGAAATACGACATTTTTGCCCCAACTTGGTATGTGGTATTCTTAATTACATCCCATCTAAAGCAGTTATGAATGTGATTTAAGAACACATTGATACAGCCAAAAAATTCTAATCTTTGCAGTGGTTACTTGGATAATATATTGCTGCTGCTACTGTTATGCCTGACAGTAAGCCTTGTCAAGATTGTGCCCTTGTATTGTTCCCATTCAGGCTGAAGGTTTGTTTGATTATGAGTCCTGAATTTGTAAGTACTGCATTGAAATTTTATTTGTGTGTGCAGAAGGTTACATTGTTGAATAGAAGGACAGTATGTATAGTAAGTTGAAATTTTAAAATGCGCTACATCTATGGTTCATAAATATGATTTCTAAATTATGTAAATTTTACTGACTCTAATATGCTAATGTGCAATAACAAATGCTTGCATTTTTTATGCTCTGTTTTTATATGAGCTTATAAATATGACCCAGGGAATTGGTTTGTTTCCAAGATGGCATTGCCTTGAGTTGTGCCCTTTCGCCATATGCACTTCAGTTATTACTCATTTGAATTTTTAATTTTTAACCCCTTTTCTCGGCTGATTGCACTTAAGTTGGTCTTTGGTGACCTTTATTTTCTAGAGTTTGGAGGCAGCTGACCTGTAGTAAGGTTTTCATGCAACATGTAGGCATCTGCAGTGCATGCTGAAGTTGTCATCCTTAGGTACATATGAAATGCTAAACTGAACAGGCTGATGGGGTATGTCTTTGTCGTCTTTGCCTGCCCCATTTCTTTCAGAGATGAGAGAGAAAATCTCTATGATTTGTATTTGAAACCAGATTTTCATACACGTTGCTTGTAAATATATTCCTTGCTAGAGCTTTTAATATCCATACATTCACACAGTTTTGAGCCCTCTGATATTTATTGTTTAAAATCTAATTGCCAAGTAGACAACATGATACCATAGGAGATGAGGATGGGAATTTCTCCATGACCCACTTAGTGATCAGATTTTTGCCCTGACACATAACAACTAGTAGCTGTTGTAATTATATCCTCATTTTTATAACTGTAGTTGCTATTCTTATTCACTCTTTTTTTGGGTTCCTGGGTAGTAGTGGGTTCCAGAGGTTAGTTATACGCCTGTTAAAATACTTTTGCCTTGGTATTCAAGTCCAGTAAACAGCTTTCAAGGCAGTAAGTGAAGAAGTTAAGTGACGCAAATTAGTTCCCTTTTAGTTCTCATAGCATTTTCTTGCTTATATATTGTTGAGTACGGTAAATAGAAGGATTCAATAGCCACATTTTTACCAGTCATTTTTTCCTGGGACATGGACTGTGTTCCTGATTCTGCCATTGACTTGCTCTTTGACACTGGGCACATCATTTAGATTTTACTCAAATGCAACTTTTGCTTAAATCTAAATTTAGACATCCAAACAACCATTCCAGGTTTTCCCTAAGGGTTGTACAGTGATTTCAACCCAGCATTGATTTCAGAAGGACCTGAAAGACTGAGCAGTTTCCAAGCTCAAGGTACCCACATTTGGAAAGGATGACCCAAGTTCTTTTGCTCCACTCTCTGAGAGCACTCAAAATATGGTGTGCAGGCCAGATCTGGCCACAGAGCCGAGTCATCTGGCCTGTGGGGCTGTCCACAAGTCTTGGAATTTGGCAGCAGGGTAGTGGTTGCAGTGTTAATAGTTGCGGCTCTGGGGGTCTTGCAGCAGTTAATGCTGGCTGCCGTTGGTCCCCCATTGCCAGATTTTTTTAAAGAACTACAGAATTAGGTTTGTGGTCCTGGAGCAGGCACCTGCACTGGAAAGGTTGAGTACAACTGGTGTGTTGTCATGTACGTCTGGTTTCAAAGTGTCTTAATTGTGAAGTATCTGAACTCCATGGACATGTTCAGATGAGCGTGCACTTGAGATTTGTGTCACTGGGGACTCATCTGCAGTGCCGCAAACCACACGTGCCACACATGCAGGCATTCACTGTGCTGCTCATTTGCCGCATGGTGGGTTAAACCTGCACTAGGAAGAAGTGGGGCAGCGTACTAGTGGTGGTGTACGTCGCCCAAAACTGGAGCCTGGCTTGCCAGAGACTCATGCTCCAGCTGCCAACCAAGCTCTGAACACCTGGATCACTGCTGCTGGAGCCCCAGGAGACCCCCAGGTCCCCAAGTGCTGGCCCCAGCCTCCCCTACCCCACCTGGACTTTTTTTTTCCCCTGCACTAACCCCACTAGCAGGGGTGTGTGCTGGGGCAAAAAGCAGCGGCATGATTTTGTCCCACTGCTTTCCCCCCCCCACCGCAGCAACTGGATGCCCCTGCTCATGGGGACATGGCTCATGAGTCAGTATGGTGTTTAATTTAGTTGGGGTCTGGTCTGAAAAGTCGGGGTAGTGCTAAGCTTCTGGGAACTTAGAAAAGTTGGCAAGAGGAAGTATCTCCAGAAAAGAACATTTGTACAAAAAAAAAAAGGTGACCCTGATCACTCATGAGTGTGACTGGAAGGATAGCACATGGAGAGAGGAAGGAGCAATGTTGATTTCTATCAGCTGAGAGGTTATCGCCAGTTGATTAGCCTCAGTTAACTTTTAAATTTTAGGCTGCAGATTTTGCTTGCTGTATGCAATACTTTTATCCAGCATATGATGTTGCATAATGACATTCCCCTTTTGCGTTTAATCAGTTTCACTTACAGCAAATGGTTACCAATCAAGTAAGGGAAATGCATGCTTAGTTGTGGCATCAGGCATTCAACGGTGGCCAATCATAAAAACAACAATAGACAAAAGTGAGATTAAATGCAGCATACTGCAGACAGGCGGTCATGATTCCAGTTTTGTCAAGAGAGTCTAGTCCAAACTGGCTCAAATCTGAGATCCGTGTTGAAGATCGCCACTGTGTTCATAAAGCCTGTCATCCTTGCTGTCTGTCTTCTGATTAGGCAAAAGCAAAAATTAGGTTATAGATTCTCTATTCAAGAAAGCACTTAAGCACATGCTTAATTTTTAAAAGTTTGTCCCATTGATTTCAGTAAAGTATTTTTTTTTTCCTCCATTGAGCCAACCAAGAAGTCTGTCCATGCATACAGATGGAAAATAAGTCACTCGTATCAAGTCTTGGGCCCAAGTTTAAAAAAAAAATCTAGAAAATTTTCCTCACAACTAATTGTGAGCATTTTCCAGATGCTCACAATTAGTTGGTTTAAAAAAAATCTTTTCTGCTTCTCACTTCAGAATCTTTACAAATATATTTTAACTTTAGAAAAAAAAAACACAATTGCCCTTTTAAACATTCCCACTAAATTAAAAATGTTGCATGCTTTTTATATCCTAGTAGCAGCACCCTTTTCATGATGCTTCAGAAATGCCATCAGCCCTTCCCTCCCAGTCACCATGACATATATGAAGAAGTGGGTTCTTAACCCAACATTTAAATATCGCAACTTAAATATGAGCTCATAAGATCACTAAATGATTTTCAGAGATGTTGAGCATCTGTATTTTCTATTGATGTCAAGAGGAATTCTGAATGGTCAGTACCTCTTAAAATGAAGCCAGGTCTTTAGATACCTAAATAAAGATTTAGGCCCCAAACTTGTAAACAGTTGAGCATTTTACTAATGTGACTAGGAACTACTCATGAGAATAATGTTTATCATGTGCCTAAGCCTTTTTGGGATTGGAGCCTAAGGCATTACTTCTAACTACAGCAGATACCAAAAATGGACAGACACTTTATGCTCAAGTTGTTTTGATTTCCATTTAACAGCCTAGCTGTTTCCATTTAAAGCTTTTTCTATACTGCTTAAAAACAATCCACATTCAACTTCTAAATATTCTTTTGCTGTGTCCTATAAGAAGGGAAGTTATCAATTATCATTAAAAAATTTTGCATTTAAGTTATGGGCTTTCTCCAAAGACTCCTGAAGTCAGTACAAAGGCTCCCATTACCTGCAATGGATCAGGTCCTAATGAAGCAATCAAATGAATTCTATTTGTCTTGGAGCCATGTCTTGGATTGTTTGGAAAGTCAAAATTAACATCTCTTGCTATCATTAATTCCCTTAGAAAATGTGCGTGCGTTTGTCCACATACCTGTCTACAACTGTTTTACCTGTTGCCTTCATATGCTGATTTTTAAAAAAAGCTTTTCCCATATATTTTCCAAGAAGCACCCATAAACTGCCTTGCTATTAGGATACTCTGTGAAACTCCTTTTTTTTTTCTTCATTTTTATTCTATAATTAGGAGTTTTAAGATTTTTTTTCCCCCATACAATATGAGTAGAGCAGGTCATTGCTGTATTTAGGTTTGTCTGATATGAGCTAACTATTGATATTTGCCAGTGTTAAACTGCATGTACTAAAAATAAAAATTTTGAAAAATAATACTTATGTGAATGAAGAAAGACATTGTACAACCTCCTCTTAAATCTTTCCTTGCATTTGAGCCAGGCTCAACCCAGACTGATGCTCTGTGGGCTAAGAACGCCCGTCATTTAGCAGTAGTGAATGCCAATGCTAGCTGCTTAATTATGCATGTATATGTTATTCTTTTAGAAGTACATATTTAGCTGGTGCCAAGCAATTTAAATCTTCCTTAACCAGGTGTTAAATATGTGTGAAAGTCTAAGCTCTGGTATTTTTAATATAGAAGTAGCCAAATAAATATTAAAAGCAGATGGCATGCCATGAATTAGAACTAGTCAAATTCTTTGTTTCCAGCTCAGCCCCATTTTTCAGTTTTGAGGATCCTTTAGCAACTGGCTCAAATTTGCATAATCATTCATAAGTCATAATCATGATGGCTGTTTTTATTAATGACAATAATAGACATTAGGATGGGTAAGAGATCATAATTGGGGCTTTGTTGCAAAGTAGGATGCTGTTATTACAGTTTTGTTTGTATTGTGATAAGACCAAAGATGCTCCATTAGAGACCAAAACCTCTGTGTGCCAGATCGAGTACATGCATGTAACAGGAAGAGAGAACCTGCTGTCTCATTACAAGATGAAACCACAAGGTAACGATGAGACTGCTAGGTCCGTGTAACAAGGAGCAGATGCTGCATGCTGGCTGTGTAGGCATTGTCAAGTGTTTTGTAAGTGGAACTGCACAGAGAACTTGAAAGGGAGCTTTAAATGAGCATATTGTAGTGTCTCCTTGGCTTTTGCTAGAAGCTCTTCTCAATGCATAAATGCTAGAAGAGTGCCCAAGTGCTTGAGGAAAATTAAACTGAGAGGCAGTAACAGCTAATAACACAGTGAGAGCAGAGGTAGAGGGTTGAACGTCTGATAACTTTTCAGAGATGGTAGGTGGGATGGCTCTAAGACAAGAACAGGCTTAAAAGTGAATGCCTTCTTCATATTTGCAGAGAACTTGCAGCAATTTGTTTGCTGTTTTTGTTTTCACCAATTTGGCATTAGTGGTTCATGGTGTACAACTGGTCACTTAAGTCACGTGGGATGGCTGCAATGTCTTGAAGAAATGGCTGAATGTTTTTAAAGAGAAAAATGAATGAGATCACTTCAAATGGAGAGCAACTGACGCTGAACAACAAATCACAAAGCCCCACAAATACCAGCAAATCAGACTAATCTGCTTTATTTCTGAGCACAGTTGCACATCCCTTTCAGCATCCTTTGGTTACCTCTAGAAGTGGTGGTGTGTGCAGTTCTCTGTGGTCTTTTTGGGACTTATGCCTTCCCTTTTGCTTTGTAGTTGCCTATTGCTGTAAGTAAGAGAGCTGTTCATTGAAAAGACTGTACAGGAGCCTGTCCAAGCTCTCCATTATTAGGAATACATTACTTTCGGATTTTTTTTTAACTGGTTGCGCTTTTGTGCTGTAGCAATCTACTGACGTTTTGGAACTTGAGAAAATTATTCTATCCTATTTGTTTTCTGTCTGGGGTTGCCATATCTTTCAGTATGAATGACAACTGCTAGTGGTGTCTTTCTTTTAGACTGAACTATTTATTTTATGAATTATTATGATGCTTAGCTCAGTCCACAAACAAACTGTAAGCTCACTTCTCACAATAGAACAATGTGCCAACCACTCTATACTTCCAAGTGGTTGACACATTGCTCTGTTGCAAATACACTTTGTGTCCAAAAGAGAGAAGCATTTTTAATGAGAAATATTTTGACTTATTTCCATGTTGTCTTGAAGTATGTTATTAAAATGCTCAAGTACATCATGGTACATAATTGATTGGTTATTTTACAGGGTTCTCGGTGCTCCTCTGATGCCAATATGCTTGGAGAGATGATGTTTGGTTCTGTGGCCATGAGTTACAAGGGCTCCACATTGAAAATTCACCAGATCAGGTGAGATTCTTTGTGGCGGTGGTGTTTGTTTTTACTGAAGTTCTGCTTGCAAGATTCAACGTTGGGGTTAAAGGGTTCCATGTTGGGAAAGAAGCTATTCAAATGAATGCCCTCAACAAAAAGAAGAGGCAGCTTCTAGATTCAGGTAATGATAATTACCCTGCTGGTGTCTGAGATGCACAGTGCTATACATGTTATATATTAAAGCCTGTAAATTCTGGACAGATAAGGGAGAAAAAAAGGAAGACCAGAGATATTATTTCTGTACTGACTCTCTCTCTCGTCTCCTAGGTCCCCTCCTCAGCTCATGCTTAGTAAAGTTTTTACAGCCCGAACTGGAAGTAGCATCTATGGAAGTCTAAACACGTGAGTACATGACAAATGGCATGTGATCAGTATATGCTACTTGGGAGACCATTCAGGCAGGAGTGTCAAGGTTCTTTTTCAGATAACGAGGAACTTTTTATTGTTTCCTGTATGTTCACAGTTGCTTGTTCTCTCGACCCTTTACTTGAGGTCATCTTCACACCAATTTGCTTGAAGCAAAGGGATGGACAGTTGTCCTATAGAGCAGATATTTGCATTTAAGCAGCGGGACCCTGCACGGTGTGGAGCACTTATACTCCCAAAGGGAAACTCATGGGGGTCTCAGTCCATGAAAAACAAGAGATGTGACAAAAGAGGTCCATCTCTAAGCCACCTGCTTTTTAGTTTCCATATGTTAACTACACAGTTGGGCTCTCTTTGTATATACTAAATCCTAGGCTTTTCCCAGTGAAAAACTGCATTATTTGCTTGTATGTTCCATTTGCATAATAGATTAAATAATATTGTCCTGTATAAAAATGTGAATTACTGGTTTTGTTTTGTGTTTCTTTTCAGGCTTCAGGATAGTCTTGAGTTCATTAATCAGGACAGTAATACATTAAAGCCAGACCACAGCACAATTATGAATGGACTCCTTGGAAACATAGGTAATTCAGTGTTTATTTTATGTCTTGGTATCTTTGTTAATTGAGTTATCACTAGATTTTGGAATGTATTTGGTTACCAAAAATTGACATGTATTGTAACTTAATAGAAACAATCATGGCCCAAGGGACTTTATGGAAAGAAATCTTGGCCTGAGTTTGAAAGAATAAACCAAACAAGTTCAGGAATCTGCTAAGGGGTCTCTGAGATTGTCAAGACCTGCCCTCCAGTTCTGTCAATTATTTAATATTTTTATTTTAAAAAAAGGAAAGGGAAAGTTCTGTCCCTCTTAAGTATGTTCACTGTTGTCTTTGTACAGTGCTGCGAATAGGTATACTCTCAGAACAAAAACACCCCAAACCAAAGATTGGGTAGACTGGGTGGAAGACCAGTTTAGTGTCTTTGGTGCTGTAGACAAAAGCTAAGGAGTTTGGCTGAACATTTGACAGATATTAAGCCATAGAAAGACTTTGTTAGCCTTGTGTTATTGCTACTGTACTGCCAGACAAGACTCTCAAAACAAAAACACCCCAAACCAAAAACCTATGTAGCAGTCTAATGGTCTCCTCAAAGCAGCCCCCTTTCTCTTTTTTTTGATCACTTAATTTTCAAGCTAGCATGTCACTGTTTTTTTTTATTGTAGCTAAGATAAATGTGGATAAAAAACATTTTAAAACTTTTCAAGAATATCACTGTATGCAAATAGACTTCTTCCCAGAGTTTTGAGTGAAAGTTTAGCTATGCAAAAATGGATCCAAAACTCTGTATTTTTTTCTAAATCAGGTTTTATTATTGAAGTTGTAGAAACGAACAGCATTGAAAGACAGGCTTAGAAACACAAGATGAGTGTTTTTTGTTTTTGTTTTGTGTTGTTTTTTTCCCCACCGGTACATGTAAAACTCTATCATCGTTGTCATCATCATTATCATCATGCTAGCTTAATAATAGTAATAGTAATAATAATAGCTTTCTGCTACTTTTTCTTATTGATGGTTCTTTTACAAGGCAAGGTAGGTAAAGGAGCTTGAGACCGCTTGTCTGTTAAATGTCTCTGACCTTTTACTCAGTGTTGCTGTAGGGCTTGGGTGAGGCTTTCAGCAGTGCCAATTCGATGCTAGAGGCAATGAGAAGAAAGGTGCCTTTCTTACTTTGGTGCTTTTGAAAATCTCATTTTGCATCTGTAGGAAAGCAACTTCTATTGGCAAAACTGTTAGTGTGGAACCAAAAAATTCCACAGTGGAAGTTAAAACTTGGAGCATTGTCACTGTTCAGCATCGGCATGAGTTGATGCATCGGCATTGATTTCAGTACATCAAAGCCAACTATCCTCCTTGATCTTAGCATTATAATGGTGATGGCCTTCCATAACAGTAAGAAGACGACAACACTCTTAGTGCTTTATTTCAGGGCACTAGTATGTGGACATTGTATATGTTGGGACATAACTGTTTCCATTTGGAGTTACTGAGGTATGCACCCAACACATGATAAGGTAATGGTTCCAAAGAGGAGACTTAAACACTTGAGACTGCAGTGAAACTGCACAAACTTTCAGTCCATTCAGAACTGTTTGTTTATAGTCCCCGTTTCAAGACACAATGAATGATGGGTAAGTTAAGGCCAAGAAGTTAATCTGTAACTGGAACATTTCTGACAACTAACATATAAAGAATACTTCTGACCTACTGGCTCTTGCCAACTTGTGATATTAAAAAGTTCCTGTGTGTTTTGGGAGGGGACTGTTTATAATCTTTTTTTCAGACACGCCTGTCTGTAAGCTAGTCCCCATGTTCTTCCACAGTAAAGAACTAAGTAGCTAAAAGAGAATGCAAAAAGCTTTTGTTAAAGTGCAGCCTTCTGGGCTTTTAAATCATTTTACACAGAGTAGGTAATAACATCCCAAATCTAGCTTTTGGGTAGAGCTAATAATTACCTAATGAAAAATAACTGTGTGGGCTTTGTTGTTTTGTTTGCATACAGAGAAGAAGCATACTCTATTTCCCTATTTACCTGTAGATAATAAATGTTAATACAGAGTTTTAAGACTGCAAATACATATTTTCTGTTCATCATTTGACTAATATTATATATGTCCTCTCTTTTTTTGGGTAACTATTTTGACCTTTCTTGTTAGGTCTGTAAAGTTTAATTTACGCCTGCTGTCTCTTTTTTTTTTTTCTCCTTTCCATCTTCTTCAAAGGTGGAGTACCCCAGCTATCTCTTCAAATTGAGCTGTTAAAATGATCATGGTAAAGCAGGCTAAATCTAACATATGTGATTCAAACTAAGTTTTGACCTCCCTAGGGTTTCATAATTTTCTCATAAATTATGAGGACCTGACCTGACAAAGAACGTTTTGCGTTTGGAAGTTTGTTCCCAACTACATAGTTGGTCCAATAAAAGATCAGCCTAAGAAATCCTTGCCTCTCTCAAATTTAATGATTTTGAGCAAACTTTTGATATGGGTAAAACTGCATTGGTGGATCCTGTTTTTAAAAAAATCATGGAAATACTGTTGTAACCATGAGTAATACAGCTTGAATTGATATTTCTGTTGAGTGTAAGAGCTACGTTTCCCTGTATCTGTTGTTCTGCATTTATGTTGGCTTATATCTTCTCCCAACCCAGTCCCCTGGACCTCTTCCTCCTCCCCCTTCCCCTCCCTCATCCCATCCCCGCAGACTCTGTTCCGCTTTACTAACCTCATTCTTTCATATGTATTTTACGTTTTGCCATGTAGGTCTTTCACAGCTTTGCAGCCCCAGGCGGGCGTTCTCTGAACAAGGTCCGCTCCGCCTGATCCGGAGCGCCTCTTTCTTTGCAGGTTTGCATTGTGCTGTGTGGATAGTCTGCTTAGTGTCGCACAACCGGGTGAGCTTGTAGTTTAGCCCTGGAAATAAGATCTATTTAAAAACATATATGGTAATGCAATTGGAGGAGATGGAGAAATTATAAGGTGGGCAGAGGAGCCTGTTTTGTACCCTTCTCGTGTAGAAGATGCATGTTTAAAATTCCAAGAAAACAGTAGATGCTTTAAAATTTCTGTTCTCTTCATGAGCTTTAGTTTTATAGAAACCTACAAATTTGTGTGGTGCATGCATATTTTTGGAGGCAATATTTGTAACTTTTTTTTTTTAACTGGCCTTGCTTCAACTAAATTACAATTAAAAGGTAGTCTGTTGGGGTTGCTAGGAAACAAACAATTCCTGGTTTCAGGAGAGGGGTCTTATTTCCATGGCTGAGTAGCTTTTTGTTTCACAGATTTGTAAAATGTATCACATTTAAAGATTATTGAGATTTTGAGACACTTGATCTTGTGTACACACAGAGTGGCTGTGAATTTAAGTAGCTTAAGGCTTAGCTGAACAAGCAATACACTATACAACATTTTAACAGGAATCGTTTTCCTTCCTGGTTGCCGTCTTAAAGTCTTTTTAGAAAAATTCCTTCAGACATGGTCAAGCCTTGTATACAAAGCTATCTCTGTAGTGATATTAGCTTTTACACATCTATTATCTAAGTTACTCTTTTTATCTTGCTTTGGGCTATAGCTGCATGGCTAGCACCCTGTTGATGCATTAGAATTTTACTGTAAAACATTTTTTGTCTCCAGAAAAGTGAATACAAGTCTGGTTGTTTTTCTATTCAAATAAGGAGGCGTGGACTTTAGAAAAATGTCTAAGTTTTTCACATTAGTGTTTTGGCTTGTTCAGCTTAGCAGCATCTTTTGGTGATGGCCTTGTGCAATGCTGTTGAAAAAGAGATCGGAGTTAATGAGCATGTTTTAGTTGTGTTAATTAAATGGAGCTCTACAAGCCAGGAAAGACCCATATATTCAGTTGCTTAATTGATGTGCTTTGTTTCACAGTTCACAGCAACCCTATGGACATGCCAGGGAGAGAACAGAGTGAGGACAGAGACAGCGGTATAGCCAGATCTGGTAAGGTAGTCTTATGTACTAATCATCACTCTGAGACCAGATGTTCATTCATCCTGTTAACTAAGTAGTCTTCGTTTCACTCAATGACCTTCCCAAGAAATCCCAAAATTCCACTTAAATACTCATCTGATTTGAAATGCACATTTTTATTTATATTTGTGCAAATTCTTGAAAGAGCATCTATCCATGCATCCTACAGTACTTTCTGGTGTCTGAAAAACAGTTTCAGGTCCCAAACACAGCAGTACAATGTAATACAACTCATCAACCAGGGCAGCTTAAGCACACACATGAAAAACTCTTGTCCAAGCAATGCTGTGTCCCATCAGCTTGCCAGTGTGGGGCCATATTAACCTCGGCTATTAGAATGCGATTTTTCTCCACCCCACCCCCAGTCGGCTCAGGATGCTGTCTGCTGGGACTGGGGACTTGTCTAGTGCACCATCCTTCCTGGCTGTTGGCAATTATGCTTTTGGAAGAGAGAACATCTTACTACTTGAAAAAAGAATTTCCAGCCTTGCCCTTGGAGCTTGGTGGGGCAGTGAGATGTACTTGGTATGTGATACCTATGCTGCTGATCATCTAAAACTGGAGTTTCAGGACTGTTCCAGCCCATCAGTCCTGGATATTTTGAAAACAGGAAACGAGAGAAACCAAATGATATGTGGCACAGCTGAACTTTAGTGAAGCACCTTGAGTTGGCAATGTTGTTTCTCAAATGCCGTATTCTTCAGTGTGCCTCAATTATATATAGACTTATATTTGTTCCTCTTATTGTTACAGCATCTCTTAGCAGCCTACTTATCACTCCATTTCCATCTCCGGGTTCCTCGCTTACCAGAAGCTGTGCCAGCAGTTACCAAAGACGTTGGCGTCGCAGTCAGACGACAAGCTTGGAGAACGGGGTCTTCCCTAGATGGTGAGCTGGAAATTATAAACCTGTCTGTTTTCTCCCATGCAACAGCATCTTACCATGTGATTTTGCTACCAAACGCCAATGTAATGCTGTTGTTTTGTATGGAGCACTTATGCCAGTAAAACTCAAATTAGCATTGGACTCCTGTTCCTTTTTAATGTTTCATCATGGTGTTTACCACTATTAACATAATGAAATGCTTCCAACAAAATACAGGTCAATATGGAAAACAGTCCCAGAGATCCTAACAAATAGCAAACCAATGGCACAGAGAGGAGTGAGCTGGAATATAACCAGTTGCAAATTATCAATCTGATTCTAGACTTGGAGACTTAAGGCTCAATAATTTGTTGTGCTTGTATAGTTACAAACTTGTTGTTATCAAATAATGTTTTGACGGTAAACAGACAAAAGGAGATCACTTAAGTTAAATGTTCTGATATTTAATTACACAAGAAATCAAACTTCATTTGAAAGCAATCAAGTGTGCTAGCTCCTGCTTTCTTTGCCCCTTCAAGGTCTGTAGAAGAAAGCTTTAATTTGTCAGATGACAGCTCTGGTCCCAACCCAGGGATTGTTAGGAAGAAGAAGATCGCCATTGGGGTGATATTTACACTCTCAAAGGATGAAGATGAAAATAGCAAATTTAATGAGTTCTTTTTCTCACACTTCCCTCTCTTTGAGAGTCACATGAACAGACTGAAGAGTGCAATAGAACAGGTAAGCACCATCCCTTTGCATTCTTGTACTTCGCTTTTATTTTTTGTTTACCTTTTTCCCCTTTCACATTCCCTTCCCTTAAGTTTAGCTATATGTGGGTAATACAACGATCTGACTTCCTCTCTGCTGATGGAGTTCCCCTTGAAAGGAGTTATGCTCACTGAGCTAGATGTCTGCTTCCTATGGCTAGCATAGAGAGGGGACTGGGCGGGGGGCAAAGCATGCTGTATTATATTGAAAGAATCACTGGAAAGTAGAGCAGTCATTAGACTGTTCTGTCTTGAATTGGAGCCAGCCCCTGTATTGGCCAAGATGGAAAGGTGACTTGATGCTGTCTCCCTGTGCAAGCTACATAAGCGCCCACACCAGTGGATTACATTGCAAGATTATAAGTTTTTATAGGTTAGAGGGTTGCCAGTAATTCTTTATTTTCCTTTTGCTGATTTCTAAACATGGCAGATTTTCAAAGAATGAATGAGCAGTTTGGATATAAAGTACAGATGGATTTGCCTCTCGGCCCTCTTCTAGAAAATGCTTCACACTGAGTGTTCAACCACAGAAAAAGATTCAGAGTATGAAAACTTTAAACCCTTTTCTGGCCTGAATGAAAAAGGTGTGGAAGAGGAGGAGGCTGCAGATACACGTGTCTCTCATATCTCTCTCTTGATATAAAAGCTGGCATTGTACCATTATTTATCATTTAAAAAAAAAAAAAGAAAGAAGAAACATTATTTGCATGACTTGCTGCATGAAAGATAAGGGCAAACACATGACTGTTTTCCATTCGTTGCCATGTCTAGTGTTACTTATCTGTTTAATGATTGTTTTCAAGGCTATGAAAATGAGTCGGAGATCAGCTGATGCCAGTCAACGGAGTTTGGCCTATAACAGAATTGTAGATGCCCTAAATGAGTTCAGGTGAGCATATAGTTTCAAATCTTGTGCTGCTGTTCTTTTACTTCCACTTCAGTCCTTCCTTCTTTCTTGACAAGCTCTTTCAGTTAGTGCAAGGTTTTTTCAGCATTTTCAAGTTGACTGTCTCTTATTTGAAGTTAAATATATGCAGTCACTTTACCTTTACTGTGAAAGTAAAAGTAATAAGCATATCAATGATAGCAAGTACAAGCCTTTGTACTAGGTATGCATATGTGAGCAGAGGCACCTAAGCTTGGAGGAAACAAGCTTTTCTTTGCTTCAGTTTGTGAAGGATTGAAAAAGTTATTGCCTCGCCTCCAGGCTGCCCTTCATGACCCTTAGGAGTCACAACCCAGCAATTAAGAAACATTGCTCTAGGCCCCCCTCCAGAGGGGTGAGAAGCATCTTCTAAAAAGTGTTGTACAGGCTTTTTCTCTATGATAAATCCACAGTGGAAACATGCAAGATCCTAACCAAGTATCTACTTAGCAGTTGCTACCCTTTTTGAGAAATAATACAGGATGAACCTTTTATCTGTATTTTCCCTTTACCACAAGAGCAGGAAAGTGGGAGAAAAATGAAATCTACCTTTTCCACTGTTTTTTCTTGTCTTTAGGTGTCAGGGGGGAGGGTACAAGGGCAACTACAGCCCCCTTGTTGCATTTCCAAACACCTTTCTTTTATCTCGTAATGACCCAGATCCTTAGTTTGCTGTCCAACTCCTCTGTGACACAGGCTCTTCTGAAACTCCTGCACAACAGGGGCATGTCAGGAGCAGGATGAGGGGCAGGCCCATTGTCCACAGTACTGATTACTCTCAGGTCTCCCGTATGCTTTGGGGTGCATAGGTTATGCCAGGGGCCATTCCAAAGAGCAGTCAGGAGTGCTTGAGGGGCTCAAGGGTGGATTGCATTCCCTGTGACCTGTCATCCGTCCCCCATCAGGGCGCTGCAGGTTCTGTGCTGTGCAGACAGTAGACTTTTACCCACAGCTCGTTTTTGTTGTTGTTTCCCACCCCCCATTCTTACATAAGTTGTTTGGTTGAGCTCCAGCTGCAGTGTAGATGACGCTTACAGGTTAAACTGAGAAAGCAAAGGCTGCTGTCAGCCTGATGATGCATGCAGACGAAGAAAATAAAATGCCCCACTTTGTAGCGCAAGATTGGCAGCCTTTTTGGCGGAGCCTTTAAAACAGTATAAGATGTGATGGTTCACATGACACGGATTGCGTAACCCTCTGCGGACGCCTATGTGCATTACCAGATCTGTGCCGAGGTTTCCATGGTGCTGTAAATATTGTTCCATGGCAGCGTCACTGGGTGAATTCAAGCCAGTATATTTTCATACAAATGAATTTCCTTGGGCAGCAGCCTTCTTTTTGATAATATTATTTTTTAACTAAGCCTGGTAAGAGGCATGAGTGCTGTGAACACTTGCAGCTGATTTCTGCAGCCCTTTGGAGCCTTGCTTCCCTGTGCAGGGTCCAGTTGTCACATTGTGTTGTAAGAGTGCCTTTTTGTGAAACTAAAAAAGCCATGTGATTTTTGTTCTTCTTCTTTTTTTTTCCTGACAAATGTGTCCATAATGTGAGTAGTGCACGTACATACCTAGCACTGGATTCTGGCACTGGTCAGATTTTGGATCAAATAAAATACCTCTTAGCTCCTTTGAAAATAGGAGTCAGTTTGTGCACTAGTCAGCAGATGCTGGTGCCATCCTGATAGCATTGCTAATACATCCCGTTGCCGATGTAAATCAGCATTGCTTCGAGAAATCAGTGGAGCAGTTCAGATTTCTTCTAGATGAGCTGAGCTTGTGACCCCCTATTTCCACTATCAAATAATCAATCAACCTACTCCTCAAGTCAAGTAACAATGAGCAGGGGGCATTTAAATATCTGCCTTGGTCAGCAGACGGAGAGGGAAATCACCAGGGAAATATCCTCATTATGACTGAGCAGCGTCCCCTGTTACCTACTTCGTGTTTTGCCTGTGTTTCCCTCCTTATGCTTTCTGTTAATTCTGCAGTAAGTAGACTATGGCAGCGTTTTGCTTTCCCCTTTTTCTACCTTCCCAGGATATTATTCCATCACTTCCAAAACGCTTGATTTTCCTAAGCTAAGGAAGCAGGGACTCGTTTTTAAATGACGCCCTTTTCTTCCCCCCCCCCGGTTTTTTTCTAGAATACAAACAGTTCTAGTGAAGTTGCTCTGTTTTTTTAATTATGTTCATTTTATGGTGGTGTCTATTAAAGATGCAGGGCAAGCTAGATTGTAAAGGATTTTCTTTGGTCACAGAAGGCGCTGTAGTGTACGCTAGCTCCCACTGGTCCCTTGAGGCCTTTTGAGCAGCCCGTGAATCCCTGGGGATACCCACCCATCACACTTGCAATTCCCTGACCACATTCCCCTCCTCTATTGCCCAAAGCAGTAATGGGAATGTCAGGGTTTGCACTGGCCCCTGAGATGTACTGATGTAGGGAAGATCATCCAGCAGCTGGAAAAAATGGCTTTAGGCTAACTTTGTACTGTTGTGGGAGATGATTTGGTTCAAAGATTTTCTGCGTTTACCTGCCTGCATGCAAGGAAGAAGCTGCGCCTTTGTTTGCTGCTGTTATCTGAGACTAGGGGAAGCGACGCAGTCTTAGCAAGAGGCCTCGGCAGATGCTATTTCCTGCCACTGATCACAGATGTGAGCGAGTGAGTGGCAGGCTGGGTGTTGAGCACCAGGGCTGCCTGGCATCACTTCATCTCCTTTAAAACCCTTTTTTTTTAAAAAACGTTTGTTTAAAAGTACTCGAGGGTTTCACTCCTGGCACATGCCTTAGAGGCTCGAGGCTCTCTTCAACTGTCAGATGTTCAAACATGTGGCTTATAAAATAAGCTGCTGTATTTGAATAAGCATTTCAGACACCCTCAGAGCCCTCTGGGGTAGTGGAGTGCATTGATAATGCTGATTATGCGTCTGACTAATACTCATGTGGCATCACTGTGGTGTGGTAAATATGTAAATCGGTGAGGAAGCATTAAGGACAGATGAAAGGAACTCCCTCCCCTAGCATAGGCCCAGGTTTTAACAAGATTACCCTGCTGACTTCAGTGGTGAGCCCTCAGAAATTAATGGCACGGCGTGGCACCTTGCATTGCGCCTGCTGCAGCAAGGTGTGCGAGTCTGCAGTGTCCCAGAGCAGCCTGGAGTGCAGGGGCAAACCCCTCCCCCCAAGTGCTCCTAATCCAAACACCTGTAGTGCTTGCTTGTTTCTACCCTTTCTAAAGAAAATACCTGTTTTTATGGAGAGGAGAGGAGTGAGGGGAGCATGGAAGTAAATTTAACAAAGAAGTAGAATTGTGCTTTGATAGTACTTCATCTCCAGGGCACTCCCAGTGGTCCTTTTTATGTGTATGAACAAAGCAATACTCTGCTGCCCCCAGGCAATGCTGGGAAGTGTTTTATAGGTGGAGAAACTGAGGTTCAGAGGCACGTATTGGGGTAGGGGCCATTTTTTTGTTGTTGTTGTTCCTTGTTCATACAGTGCCTCACGCAGTGGCATCTTAGCTGCAACAGGCTCTCTGAGCCCAGTACAGCAGTGCAAATAAAAAGAAGAATGAAGTGATTTGCACCAGGTATCATGGGAAGTACAGCCCAGGAAATAAAAACCAGAACTCATGGTCTTGTGTAGGGAATGCTGCTCCAGCAGCAGCTCTGCCTCAAAAGAGCACAGCGCTGCGTTCAAAATCAGCACCATGGGACGTACCCACAGGACGACCCCTGGGAGAGGGCTGCAAATGCTGTTTGGTTGCAGCTGTTTATTTCAGCTGAGAAACCTTGTAGGCAGGGAGGTATTTTCTGCAGAATTTGCCCCAACACCCTGTGTGCTCAGGGGCCTGCAGTTTCCCCACTCGGAAGTGCCTGTGTGCGTCTGCATGGCCCAGGCAAAAGTTCAGCCTCCCAGAAGCATTTCTAAATTAAAACTATTTTAAACGTACTGGAACCTTCCCAGGAACAGTGTCGCTCATTAACTGAACTTTTCCTGACTTGTCACTTTAAGATGCTGAGGTGTGTGCTGAATTGGGGAAGTTGAGGTCCAAACGGCAGGGGGGAGGTGGTTTTGCTAAATACGGCACTTGCTACAGACTGTGGATAATGATATATTAGAGCGTCAATTTTTAATTTTCTTCTCTGTTTTTTAACCCTTGTAGTTTAGTTAAGAAAACATTGCAGAGAAGTGAAAGGAGTTAATTTCCTCCCCCCTGTTTGCAGAGTCTGAATGCAGTTAATCCTTGCCCTTGGTTTCTGTGCCATTACTTACACGTCTGGTATTGAGGGTTCCCTTTACTGCAGTCACATGCCTGCTGGCAGGCGGCCAGTGGAATCTGATCGCTCTCGGAGGAAACACTATCAGTTGCAGATGCAGCCAGGGTTACCAGAATAGTAAATAACGAGTCACAAGACTCAATCTATCTTTTCAACGAAAACAAATATTTTAATATCTTGATTTTAGTGGAGAAATAGTTTTGTTTTTTTTCCCTTTGCAAACAGCTGAACAGCTGCACAGGGCTTGCCGTGTGCTGAAGGAGGGCTCAGGGCTGTTTTGCATTGAGCCCTTTTTGTATTGCCTCTGCTTCTAAGGGGGGCCTGCCCCACAGCATATGTTTTAACACTGGGTTTAAGCTGTATCGTGTACTTTCTGTCCAATTCCTGTGCCTTGGGGTCTCCCCCTTTTTATGACCTGTTGATGGGCTGAGTCATGCCCTGTGGGAGGCTTTTTTTTCGTATTCATGTTTCTATTCCTAATCCTCACGTAGAGATTAGTAGACGGCCCCCAGTGCACTGAGGCAGCAGAACTATAGGGAGACCTTCGAGGTCTTATGTCTGAGCACAGAGACAGTTGCTTCCTATACCCGATGCCATCCATACAGCCCATTTCCTTATCACGTCTGGTATGGTCACAGCACGTTGTCCTGCCCTGTCCTCTACTTCCAAGATCCCACACAGGACCCAGAGAAACAGAGCAGCCTTTAGGACCAGGCAAACCCTCAACTGTCTCAGAATATGCTGGGACCAAAGGTGGCTTCAAATCCCCTTTCTCCAACCTCAGTGCTTCTTTCCTGCTGTAAAAGCAGGAATGGAGTAACTGGGAATAGGGTCCCTGCCGAAGAGATTTTGATCAAAAAGGAAAGGGGGACGTTTTCTGTTGCACACAAGGTAGAATTTGCTTTTTGGAAAAATGAAATTGATAGAGTAAATACAAAAAAGGCCCAACAATCTTCAGTGCCTCAGACTGGTTTGTCGAATACTGTATGTTGGAAGCTTTTACAGGCCCTTTGTATTTCAGCCTGGGCAGTGATTTTTCCATCTGCTCTGGGGTTCTTGGCACTTGTGACTTTTTCCTTTTTTCTGCTGATCCAAACTGCCTGGGAACTGTTCCTCCTTCCTAATTCTCCCGTCCTACCAGAAGTGTTCCACGGGCGGGCTTCTCAGCTGCTCTCATCCAGCACTTCTTCACTTCTTAGTGATCTTCAACTAAATCTTCAGGGGTTCAGCTTTTTGGTAGCTGCTTTTTGAGTGTGTTCACCTCCCCAATATGCATGACTACACAGGCACCAACTCCAAGGGTGCTCTGGGGCTCAAGCACCCACTGAAAAAAAGTAGCGGGTCCTCAGCACCCATGGAGCCTTGCTTGCAGACACTTTAAAAAAACCACGCTTTCCCAGGAGAAGCATCATGTTATTTCGACTCAGCCCTGCGGTGGCTGTAAAGAAGGGGCACTTCAGTGGGGCTTTTTGGTGCTTCTAGCTAAAGCCAGTTTAATCAGTTATTAGATAAAAGCACCAAAAAAGCCCCACTGAAGTGCCTGGTCTTTACAGGTGCTGCAGAGCCGGGTCAAAGTAACACACTGCCTCTTCTGGGTCTGCGTGGGCCTTGACACAGGAACGTGCTGAGTAATGCGGGGGGGCGGGGGGGGGGTTTGGTTGTTGTTTTTTTTAACATACTGCAAACATCCACTGGCCAAAAACAAAGCCGGCGCCTGTGCATAACTATCCATTTACTGTTCTAGAAGTGTTCGTTCTGAGCAGAAGATAAGTTTGGGGACAATGAATGCATCAAGTGGTTGTTCAGAGAGTACCTTTATAAACAAGAGATTTGACTAGGCATAACTTTACCAAAGGATAACTTGGATCTGCATGTCATGTAAAACACTAATTGCTCATTACTCTTGTATAAAGAAGTAGATGGGGAAAACCTATTTTTCTGAAGTGGTCAGGCATTTCCTATGACTTACTGACTTATTTAAAGTTGCTGACAGCATTGGAATATTGCTGGTTTAAATTTTGAATATTATGAAAATGCAGACTCCCGCAATGTCAGAAAGCCTGTGCTTTCTTTAAAATAAAACTATTTTTGGACACTAATCTTTGACATTTTAATCTGATGCTTTACTGGACAGCTCAAATGGTAACTAGATATTTACTGCCCTCCAGATGACCAAAGGTGACGTGGGTTGACATGCAATAACCCTTGAATCTGTACTAGCATAATATCTATGGATTTGGTAGAGCTATTTGTCTACCAGTTTAAGGGGCAGTTTGTAAATTTATATATAGAGTGGAAACTGCCATAGTCTGCAAACACGTCAGACTTGTATGTGGTTCAAATGTGTAATGTATGAAAAGAAGGAAACTGGAGGGGCAGAGGGGAATAAGAAGAAAAAATACCCAACGAAACTGTCTCAAATCCTTCAGTTCCTTCGTGTTTTTTATAGGGCACAGGGTGGCTTTGATTTAAATCAAATCAATTTAAATCACTGGTCAGGAAGCCTCAATTTAATCAGTGTTATCTACAAAAAGTGCATTCTTGTTGTTTTGATATAACCTTAATACATATTATTCACAACTCAGAGAGAGATGTAGGTTGCATTTTTAGAAGGTACATACTCAGTTTTAAAGCAGTGATTTATTTTGAGATTTTTTTCAGATTAATTTTGCAGCAGCATCAGGAAACTGAATTTATGATTTGGTTGTTTTATTTACCAAAGCTAATTGAAGCAGATAGTTGTGAAGTCATTGGGAGGTGAACTATCTCCAATTTACTAGATTAATCATGGATATTTGGGGGATATTTTTACCATGCTGTATTAGGAGGACAGCGCTGCATCTGTGTGTTATTAGCTTAGGGCTTTCTTCACTTTTTCCTTCTAGATATCTTCTCATCTTTGATTTCTTCTCTCTTTTACAGCTTGGCAAGCCTACTGCCATGATGATAGATTTTTCCTTCTACCATACCATTCCCTCACTAGATCTCAAATTAGTGGAGAGGCTATACACAAACTTATCCCTCCAAGACTTCTGGAATATTTTGCTCAAAATGTTTCTCTTTAGTTTCTACTACCCCTCCCTCCTTGCATTTATCTCCATGTTCCTCCTTGCCCAGATCTACTCCACCCCCAACAATCCTCTATTTGTTTAATTTCTTGAAACTTTACACTTTTAGAGAGAGGTAGGGGCTTGACTAGGTATATACAAACTTGCAGAGACAGCGGGGCTGATGGATAGGTAATATACTCCATATACTGCTGTTAACAAGGATGTTATCTCTGGAGAGACAAATCCACAGTTTGACAACTGAAACTAAACATCACAGAGATGCTTAATGGGATCTTCTAGACTGAACACTGAGTCTCATTGGGTAGAGTGTTTTTTTTTTTGTTTGTTTGTTTTTTATTTTGACTAATTTTATAGAGGAGCCTCTGGGGACCCCATAAGATTGGGCCCCAATATAGTCCATGGCCTGTTCTGATGTATTTATAAAACTTTTCTAAAAAGGTTATATGAATATATGGTCTCAAATACTATATTTAATTAGAAGTTATAATCCCTATTCTATGATGATATCTTTTGAGCTTTAACATATCTTAAATTGAAACTATCTTTATATAGGTTTGGTTTTTAAAAAAAGCATCTTAACAAAAAGTCATAGGCTTTTATCCACCCTGATAGGGAAGTTACTGAACCCTTTGGCTATGGACAGAAGGTACATACAGACTGGGCTAAGTGATCAGAAACCTTTTTTAATCTATAACAGAATGCAAGTTCCGTGTACATAAACTGCTTTCAAAATGGCCAAACCCAGTTTATGATAAAGCTGGATGGATGTAGTCTCAGGCTTAACTCGTAGTTAACTCATAGTCCCCCAGCATCCCAGGATGCTTTGCAGCCATGGTCTGTGTTGTCTGCTCCAGTGGACAGCTCCACCCACAGCTGTCACAAGGTAGAGGCAGTAAAGCCTCTGCTCCCTAGCCTGCTTCTGACTGTGCTTGTCAGCCCAACGAGATGGGGCACAGTGGAATGAACCCCAAGGTCCCCCAGCTGAGGTCTACACAGCATGAGGGGAGGGAAAGCCCTCACCATGGGGGCTCTTTACTCCCCCACAGCCTCCCCCATTGCCTCAGCCCTCCCCAGCTGCCTGCTTCTGAGAGGCTGGGGGCAGGAACACACCCCTTGGCCCAACACCAGTTCCCCCCAGGTGCTATCCATTCAGTTTATAGGTTCAGTCTATGCAGCTTAGAAAAACCTGTGAAGATTGAATTGATTTTTGCCTCCAGCTTTTTGAACCTCCGTACTTAGCTTTACAATAGCATGGTTGTATTTGAGATCAATTTAGTTAAATACTTGAGATATTTAACTCATAAAGGAAGCAAGATGAATTAACTATATTTAGTGAAAGATTCTTGTTTTTATAGTGGACTTTGGGTAACAGTTAATAGCCAAAATTTGCCTTTGATGTAAATGGGAACAGGACCTAATATTGCAGTAAAGCCTTTACCAGTATGACCTTTCTTCCTCTAATTTTCTTTTAGAACAACTATTTGCAATCTCTATACCATGCCACGGATTGGGGAACCTGTCTGGCTGACTATGATGTCTGGGACACCAGAAAAGAACCAGCTTTGCCATCGTTTCATGAAGGAGTTCACTTTCTTAATGGAGAACGCCTCTAAAAACCAGTAGGGTGTTTCTCGACATCTATTAATTGATATAAATTTTGTAAATACATTTTCTCATCGAGTATTAAAATCACTGTTTTATGATTGAAAAAAGCTAGAGGGAGCTACAAGTCCACAGCTGTTCTAAGTTTAAAGGCAAGAGAGCAACAAAAACCTTTTATTAAATGCCGCCTTCACCCACAATCTCATAAAGTCCCACGTAAAGAGCAGGCCTTCCAAAGATGTCTATAAAAAGTGAGTGATGGGAATGTGTGTGTGTGTGTCTGGGAGAGAACATACCTTATGTAAGGCATTAGCCTGGCCTTTCAAAAACAGTGAATAAGAAAAGTTTTAATGAACGAGGTCAGAAAGGAGTACAGTAGGAGTCGTGTGTGACAGTGCCTAACTTACAAATTGGTACTGAGCCCGACTTCCACAAAAAGCCACAGCTTTATGGAGAATGAATGTGTTTGCTGTATTAGAACCCGCCATTGGGCCCGAAGGGTCGTAGACCTAAGCAGCCGTCAAAAATTTCGAAGAAGCAGCTTCTTCGTTAACTCAACAGTGGAATCTAATTTTACTGTTTCATTATCTCTTCAGTCTTTTTTCACAAAGTAGGAATATGGGAGGTCTAAAAGCGTGTGCACTAAAATCCTGAAACAAGCATGTGACATTCAAGCGAGAATAAAACAACAAAATCAGCTGTTAACTCAAAGAAATCTGCCTTTAGATTGGAGAAGGTCCAGCAACTGGCCAGTGTAGCTTGGGCAACATCAGGGGGGAATGTGATTCTGCTGTTCCTCAAAATCCTGTACTTTTAACACCTGATGGTAATTTTGTGATCCATCTCTCTCCCTAACAGGAAGGTCATAATTAGCGTGCAGCATGGTATGCGTTCTTTAAGCAAGGGATCTCTTGTAGCTGTGTGAATGCCAGCAGACTTCAGCAGAATGTGAAAAGCCTTAGTGATTTGTAGAGGGAGTTAAAATGTTTTTCCTAAAATAAGTTTCAACAGAGGTGGAAGCATTTGGCCAGGATTAACCGCTTCAGCCTTCTGTCAGTCTGAGACTTGTGCTGCTTAGATGCATTTTAAAGTGTTTTGCTTGTGGGTTTGGTTGGGTTTTTGCTCTTTTTATTTTTAAACGGAGCAGCACTCTGTCATCCCTTAAATGTCCCAATGAGTGTTTTAACAGACCTTAACTCTCAGCCTGATTCTCAACTTATTCCTGTTTCATAATGGTGCGACTCTTTCAACCTTAGTGGAAATGCTCCTAATTTACATTGATGCAAGTGAAAGAAGAATCGAGCCCAGCACCTGCATTTTTTTCCACCTTCGTTTCAAATCTCTAGTCATCATCCCCCATCCACCCCAATGTGGTCTCCAGTCACTGATCAAAAAAAAAAAAAAAAAAAAGGGAGGGCAGGGGGATGGACGCTACATTTCAGTCTTTGTCTTTTAGGATCTGCAAAACTATTTAAACAGGCATTAAATTAACCCTTCTGGAAGACACTGCAGTTCTGTTGTTCATAACTTCCCTGCTCCAGTCCTATTTGTTCCAGTCTCCAACCCACACTTTTGCTCTCACCTTTCTCATGCAAGTATATGATATCCACTTATTGTACAGTTCAAGAAAAATAGCTCAGGACTTTGAGATGTACAGTGAGCAAATGTGTCCCAGATCTAAAACTTGGGATCTGTGCTGGCTTGTTTTTATACAAATGAACAATATGGTAAAGAGCAGGGTTTCTTTTTTGTAGCATGCAGAGTTGTGTACTGTCATTCCCATGCTATGGGCCCTATTTCCTGAACTGTTCTTATTCATGGCGTTGCGTATTAAAGCCAAAAGTTTAAAAACGACTGTTAGACCATGTAATCTGACCCACATAATACAAGTCATTGAACATCTTTCTAGATTACATATCTAGTAAGCCCAGTAACTGGTAGCTTGAGAAGATGTTCCTAACTGGGGAAAAAAACTACTGGACAGCAGAAGTTTTACTAAAATGGAAAGTCAGTGCAATTAAAACCCAGTCCTTATTTTTAAATGCAAGTTCCATGATATTTTTAAGCTTTTCTGTTGGCAATATTGTATTTTGTGTATTAACATTAAATATATTCATCATCTCTTTTGGTTTTAATGGAGAGCTTTAGCAATCTGTGCTTATAATAAGCTTACTAAATAGAAGGCTCATAATGTTAGCTAAACTGAAGAACTTAGATATGCATAAGATAAAAATGTTTGACAATTCAATTCTGATAACCTTTAAAATAAATCTCTCTCTTCTGGGCTCAATACATTTCTACACAGTTCTTTTCCAGCCTGATGCAGAAAGAGCCAAGGGGATCTGGAGATCTTTACGATCTCTACATCTCCAGAAGCTAGCATCCCTGCCCCGTGGAGGCTGTAGAATTGCTGTTGCTGAAATGCTATGAATGTTCAGCTGGAAAAAGTGACATTGAGCATTTTCATTTTCAGATTCTTACCAGCTCTGCTGACTGCGGTTCTCACTAATCACCTGGCCTGGGTCCCCACAGTTATGCCAAATGGGCAGCCACCTATAAAAATCTTTCTGGAAAAGCATTCCTCCCAGAGTGTGGACATGTTGGCTAAGACTCATCCATACAACCCACTGTGGGCACAGTTAGGTATGTCTGAAACTTTCCATCACGATCTGTTACAGTACTACATACATGTATATAAAGCAGTGATTGTGGGGAAAGTGTAGGGTTGAAGTTTTTGACTAAATGATGCTGTTTATCCTTCCCAGGTAGGAATTGTTGCACAAGGTTCAGCTCTATACATCTATGAGCTGCACAGTATTAATTACATGCTCTGTTGTTATTTAGGCACTACCAGTAATAAAACAAATGCAAAAAGTGTGGAGTCTCTTATTATTTATGCATGGCAGATCTTACAGTGGCCAATACCATGGCAATGATGAGGGATTCTGGTTTCCTTCCATGGGTCTCTAGAGAGAAACTGCATATTCTACGCATTGGATTGCTCCCATTGACAAGTCTGGTTTGGGGAATAAAAAAATTACTTAGTCTCTTACGTCAATTTAATACTAATAAGAAACAGAGAAAATGAGACGAGGAGCAGCAAAAAAAAGTGAATGCTGAATGGTCAAAACCTGCAGGCAATAAATGTTCTGGCATTCTAAAACCCATTAGAAGCAAAGAAAGACTCCCGTTGAATTTGTAGATGGCTTTATTGCCACCTAGTGGCCATTCCACAAGGGAAAGGACATAAGCATGGTCTGATGGCAAGCACTGAATACTAGGGCTGTGTGAAGCTTCAGGCGGTGATTCGATTCGGAGGAGATTCGGCCCGATTCAGTGGCCGGATCTCTGAATCCGAATCTAATCAGGGGACCAATTAAAAAGTCCAAATCTATTCAAAGCTCTCAGAATCTTTGGAAAAGATTTGGAGAGCTTTAATTTCAGGCAATCCCTGGTGACTGCAGCAGGGAGCTGCAGCCAACTCCCAGCTGGTAAGTACTTGGGGCAGGAGAGGGGAGGGGACCACAGGGGGGACCCCTGCCAGCCCCCCGACTTCCCCCCCCGCTCCCAGTGCTTTAAAGAAAAGCCCCAGTGCTCACTGGGTGCTGCCGTGAGGGGGTGGGGGGCGATCCCTGCTTCCCCCCATGGGTGCTGCCCCTATGAGTGCCCCACCCGGGCCAGCTCTGGCCCTTTTAAGAAGAAAAAAAAACAACAGAAAAGCCCCGGGACTCGCTGCTCCTGCACCGGCCTCGGCAGAGCCCCCCATGCAGCACGGGGCAGTGGGGATCGCCCCCTGCCTGGCAGCACCTGATGAGCCAGGGCTTTTTTTTTTTCCCCAAAGAGCCGGGAGCTGAGGTAGGCAGGCAGCCGTTGCCGGGATGGGCCTGGCTGATTCGGAGATTCGGCTGAATCTATTCTGGGCAGTGATTTGAATAACCTAATCGAATCGCTATCCCCCGAATTGGCTGAATCTGAAGTGAATACTAGCCGCTTCGCAGAGGCCTACTGAATACTCTGTGAGGTTCCCCCACCGTGGCACAGGCAGGTCGTTTGTCAATAGGGGCAAAAAAACTCATGAAACTCAAGAAATCAGCTGGAAGCCAGAGCTGGTACCGTGGAGTCCTCCTTATAGCTCCCTGTGGGTTTCCCGTGCTTCTCAATACATCCAAAACAGAACCCCTCTCTAGTCCTGCCCAGATAAGCCAGAACTTCATTATCCGTTGCCCTCCAAAGATGACAGAGCTGGGTAGGAAGGAAAAGAAGAAGGGAGAATAAGCTTTGTAGTTTTGCATCCCACATTGTCATGTTCTGGTTCTTGGCACAGATTCACTTTTCCCCTCTGCTTTCTTCTCTGCAGGCAGGGTGGGGAGGTGTTGGTATGCAGTATCCCCCTCTCTCCTTGGAAAGTAGGATCAGCAGCAGTCTTTTCCCCTCGGCGGGAGCTGCTGATCCGAGGGGTGCTTCCCTGCGTTTGATGTTCTACCTGAGGGATTGGGGGGCGGGGGTGTTGGTTCTATGAAAGGAAGAAGCTGGAGCTGTCTGAGACGCTTTAGCCTTCAAAGTGACTGCAAAGATAACAGCTCATTCCTGGCTGTGGGTTCTCTTGGATCCTCTCTTTCAAAACGAGGGACGTCAGGGAGCAGTGCTGCACTGTAAGCATGCACAAATGAAATCCAGTGCTACTGGAAGGTACTTGATCTAGTCCAAAGTCCTCTGCATTTGCAGAACAAGTACAGCACCAGCACTGGCAGCTCTTGTTTCCCTGTATTGTCTTGCCATTGTCTGCAAAGCCTGATGGGGAAGATTTTCCTCCAGAGATAAAAGTTTAGGTTTGTTTTTAGGGCTACTGAATTTTTGGCTTCACTGCTGAGACTACCTGTGTGATCATGGCTGTTGCCTGCTGAAGTGAGCCTCATCAAACCATTATCCACAGATTTCTAAGCTTCTCCAAGCCAAAACTTTTAGTAGTTGGGTCAGTTTTGCTGATGTAGAGGTGAAAGGCTGTGTATCCTATTATCCATCCCTTATGCAATGGTTTCCTGATGCAGAGGTTGCATTGTATTGTCAGTGGCAGCTATTACTGTTGCTGTTAAGGCTGTATTGCCACTGGAAGGATTCTCCTAAAAAAATACTGCTTAGAACGGAAATACTTTATTCTGCCCTGAATTCATCCCCTTGAGCCTGAAGTTTTTCAGTTTGTGTTCTCATTACTGAGACAAACAGCACCATTAAGATTCCCTGTATTAAAGTTGCTTTTTTTCCCTCTTGTAGGAGACTTGTATGGGGCTATCGGATCACCTGTGAGACTAGCAAAGACTGTCGTAGTTGGCAAAAGGCAAGATCTGGTGCAGAGGTTGCTTTATTTCCTCACTTACTTCATAAGATGCTCTGAGCTCCAAGAGACGCATCTTCTAGAAAATGGAGAAGATGAAGCCATAGTCATGCCTGGAACCGTTATTACTACCACATTGGAGAAAGGAGAAGTGGAGGAATCGGAGTATGTGCTTGTCACAATGCACAGAAATAGAGGCAATTTGTTATCTTGGGAGTCTGAGGAATTGAGAACTTCTAACTGTAGTTGTAAATACTGCAAAGGCCCACTTCCCCTTGGGCCAAACATAGAGGCTGCTTCACAACGAGAGAGAGAAGATGCACAAAATGCCTCTAAGGTAGAGCTGGAAACTTCTTTAGAGGAAAGCAGAACAACCTCAGCTGCTGACTGCCAAGAAGACCCTGTTGATGTTAAGCATTGCAAAGATAATTTGAGATCCTGCCTGGACACCAAGGTAGAGACAGTAGTCTGCACGGGGGCAGCTCCAGTGGACAAATGTCCACTGGCAGAATCTGGATTAGAGCCAACTGCAGACATCTGGAGGACCGAGGAGTCACTGGAATCTGGTACCCAAGCCCTCAGTGTAACAAGATCCACAGGTATAGTTGTGGAGAAGAAGCCTCCCGATAAGCCCTTGTCTGACGCATTCCCTTGCAATTCAGCTGAGGCTCAGACAAAGGTGACTTTTCTGATTGGTGATTCTATGTCGCCTGACTCGGACATCGAACAGAGAAGTCAAGCAGTAGCGGAACAAATTACTAGGCATCACAACCAGCCAGCAATGAAGGAAGGAGTGGCTGCTGACCAGAACTGTGAAGCAAAACAAACCATCGAGGACCAAACCAGAGACTGCAGGACATCTGAACCGTTCCCTCAAGTTGCCAGCAAGCATCAGACTTGGAATCCAAATCCTTACAGTACTGAGAGCTCGAGTCTTTTTGATGAGTATTTTACTGATGATGGTTCGATTGAAACCCGAACTATTGATGATATTCCAGTGCGAGCAACTACAGACATTCTAGATCAAAGCAGTAGTTTAACGTTTTCTAAAAAACTCTGTACACAGAACAGCAAACAACCCAGTGAATTTTGTAAGTTCATGGAATCTGTTCGCCAAGAGACATGCAAAAACTGCTTTGCTGAGCAGGACCAAAAAGACAAAGTTGCTATTAGTGTCCCCCATGGGGATAGAGAAAATGTAGAGAAAAAAGTTGCCCCAGCAATTGACTGGGACATTCCGAGAAATGAGAGCTCAGATAGTGCCCTTGGCGATAGTGAAAGTGAAGATACGGGTCACGATCTAACTAGACCAAGCAGTAACTATTATGGGGGAGAGCAAGAAGATTGGGCAGAGGAAGAAGAGATCTCTTTTCCTGGGTAAGTATTTCAGCAGTATCAGACACCTAGACCAATGCACTTCTCCTCATTCCCCAGAGCTGCAGCCCAATATGGCATCAGTGATTGGAAAGATTCTTTTTAGTTTAGTAACTGTAAAATGAATGTAGCGAAATTGGTGAGCTAGAAAAAATTAAAACCTTATTAATGATGCATCATAACACTGGCTCATATACTTTCTGTTCTGGTGTTTTATGCAAAAGGCCACACTGTTCCAACTGCCTTTTGAAACAAAACTTTTTAAAAATGTGCTTGAACAGAAGTTTAAGGAAGAAATGATTGACACTAACCTGTTACACTTGCTTAAACTGAAATGAGCAGAAATTGGTTTCCGTTACAGTACATGTCCATGATATACCTTTCTTTCAGGTCAAAATTAGTTGAAGTGAACTCTGTCCAGCCCAGTATTGCCAATTTTGGAAGGTCCTTGCTAGGTGGCTACTGTTCATCTTACGTACCTGACTTTGTTTTGCAAGGAGTAGGAACTGATGAAAAACTGAGACACTGTTTGGTGTCAGATTTGTCGCATGCTGTTCAGGTAATTAAACTATATCCAATAAAAGTATTTTTCACAATAAAGAAAAGCAGCTATTTCTGAAACAGCAAACCTGTTGGAACTGGAAGTACTTTTTGTTATATCTGTGTTCTAATTTCCACAGTCCCATTGCGCTGGGGTCTCTTCCCTCCTCTCATCTCTCAGTTAATACACCTGGGAAATCTGCTCCAGGTTGCCACTGAAACTCGAGCCCCAGTTGAAGGCAATGGGAGGAGGCCATCTTCTAGGAGGCGAGAGAGATGCCCATGTTAAACTAGCTCCTCTTCTTGATGGAGCAGCTGGTTGGTTACTGGGATCCTGAGCTGTGAACTGCTATGACCATTCTAGACTGCCACATGCTCTTTCCCATGAATATCTCCCTAACGAACCTGAATTGTCTGTGGAACAGAACTTGTTCTCTTGGTGAAGTAAATATTCAGCCCTCAGAAAGGTTGAGATCTATTAGTGTTGTTGTTTTGTTTTCAGAGAAGCTAAGATGCTTGGCTTGTCTTTGTGGGGAAGAGGCTAACCTATTGATGGACTATGTTGTGCCCTAGAGCATGTGGGTAGTGGGTCTCTGCTCTCTGACCCCCCACCCTGACCACTTTCATGTAAAAATGGGTCTTGGTAGAACTGTATTTTCCTGGATGAGGTCTGCTCCAGGCACCATCTGTCCTAGGGGACTGGACAGTGGATGGGGTGGGAAGAACATCCTTCTGTACCCCTCTGGCTCTGTGGAAATTAAGGGAAGAGACGATAGAAATTACGGAAGCAGAAACATGATTCTGTTCCCCTGCAAGCCAAGATCTCATTCCTACAGGAGTGAGGTCAGACTTAATAGGTAACTGTCGATCCTCTGGATCATGGTGTACACGCAAGAGCTCTAGTCACCAAGATCTTTCATGCATATATATGCCTAGGCAAGAGTATGGAGGAGTGGAAGCTGCCCAAGACCTCCCATCCCCCCCCTTTAGACCATTAAGACAGAATCCAAAGGCCAGACCAAGTCCAGACATTCAGTGCCTTGATGGTTGTAGCTGCTGCCAGAGAGCAACAGATAAGAACTACTGCTGACTCCCTAATGCCTCAGTGAGGACACATTTCTGTCGGGATGATGTCCCTTAGGCTTTCTCCAGCCAAGGAGTACCCACAAGGCAGCGGGGGCCAGGGTTTTTGGCTAGATGATGCTCTTTATCCTTCCGAGGTAGGAATCTTTGCACAGGATACAGCTCCATACATCTACGAGCTGCAGAGTATTAATTATGTGCTCTGCAATTATTTAGGTATCCAGGTTGTAGCCATATTGGTCTAGAGGAAAAGGTGATCAGGACTTGTAGTAGAGATGATATCTTTTATTAGATATCATCTTGTTGATGAATATCTTGTTGTTAATAAAAATATCGTCTTTATTATCTTGCTGGTCTAATAAGATATCATCTCTACTATGAGTCCTGATTGCCTGTCATTATTTAGGCACTACCAGTAATGTCTAAATAAGGCCCAATACTCGCCTTATTTTGGAGGTTGTAACATTGTGGTATTTTATAGGAGCTACCCCACCACAAGTAGCCCCACCACGTTGCCACCAGATCCTCCAGTCAGATGCAGTTTAGTCATACTAGGACCATGGTCAGACATAAGTAGAAATGAAAACACACTTGTTGGGAGCATGTCTTTCAGGGTATGCACATGGGTCCTCTGAAATTTGTTTTTCGTTCCCCAAAGCAGCTGCCTTCCATGCTAGTCAGCATCCCTGTACATTCATTGGATGCAGCAGTTCATTTGTGTGGCCCTTTCCCTTTGTTTGCCTCCTCTTCTCTGCACAGAGCCCTTTCCAGTGATTTGCCCACTGGTGCCCCTGGGCACATTCGGTGGGTTTTGCCCATTTTGAATAAATCACAGCTGAGTCTTGAGCAACAGGGGCAATATCTCAGTGTGACTTCTGGCATGAAACCAATACTTCTTCTCTACAAACTGCCAAGGAAAGAGATGTTCTTCAAATGCTGCAGCTTCATTTTTACCAGCAAATGCTGCCAGAATTTAAAAAAAAAAATCTATGCAAGATTTTACATGTTGGCATTCAAAATATAACCCATGCATAGTGGAGCAGCACCTTGGTACTGCTGAGAGAGGGGAGTTTGTAGGCAGTCATGGCCAAAAAATTGAAAGGAAAAGGCCCACAGAGGTGTTTGTATCCATTGCAAAGAGATCTTCCAAAAGCGTTAGAAAAGCGAAGGTTGGCTTTGTCGTTTTGCTCCCTCTGGTGGTTCTGCAGGGGCAGCTAACAAACTCCTGCTGCTACCGAAGGAAAACTGATTACAACCAAAAATGCAACTGTTTGAATTGTCCCAACTGCGTGAAAGAAACCAGGCAGCACATGTGACGAACAGCAGATTAGATTTTCTGAGGCTTTTCAGTTTTAATAAGCTGAGTTTCTACATCTTGAATAATCTGATCAAGATAGGTACAGTTGTTGGGGTTTTCTCTCTCTTTTTTTCAGTATGATTTTAACCTGTATCTATTTTAACCTCAGCTTCATTCCAACAAGAAACAACAAAATCAAATGTTAAAAGACACACTTTTTAGACAATCGTTTCAAGCCTGGGAGGTGAAGACTCTTAACTTTTTCATGATAAGGAATTGCCTCAAGGCTTAAAAAAGGGCTTCCATTGCTGTTGAGATTTGTTTTGTGTGCACCGACCTGCCTTTTGTTCTTCTTGTACTTAAACTATTCACTTCTTTTTTTTAAATTCCTAGCATCCTGTCTTGGATGAACCGATCGCAGAGGCTGTCTGCATTATTGCAGACGTGGACAAGTGGACAGTGCAAGTGGCCAGTAGCCAGAGGCGAATGATTGACAATAAACTGGGAAAAGAGGTGTTAGTCTCCAGCCTTGTCTCCAATCTGCTTCATTCCACTCTTCAGCTTTACAAGCATAACTTATCTCCAAATTTTGTAAGTATGAGCAATGCTCACAAGAGCTGACATGCTGTGAGAATCTGCTCTTAGGAACATATTTGTTATGTTAATTTAAGTTACAGCCATACTGCCCGGTTGGCACAATCTGTCACACTGTGCGTCATCTGACAGCCCGTAGGGCCCCTTTTAAACTTCATTCCGAGTTCCCAAGAGCCGGCTGTCATCCTGATTCAGTCTGGGTGCAAAATGTCCACTGAAATAGGCGGGAAGTCTTGCTAGTGCAGAAAACACTTCAGCAATTTATTTTCAGAACAAGAGTCTAAATAGAGACTTGTTTCATTTTAATTGTGCATTTCCCAGTAATTCCTGAAGGATGTTTTCAAAGAATTATTTTCCGTGATGTGACTGACAACAAGGCAGTCTGATTATGGGGCCTGGGCTGTTTCTCTTTGGGGTCTGGAAGGGTTAAGGTACTGTAAGGAGTTTGCTTTCTGACATGGCTTTTTTCATTTGTTTCTAGTGCGTCATGCACCTGGAAGATCGGCTACAGGAACTGTATTTCAAAAGCAAGATGCTGTCTGAATATCTCAAGGGCCAGATGCGAGTTCATGTTAAGGAGCTGGGCGTGGTGCTGGGGTACGATCACAGATTTGTGTGCGAGGTTTCCACTCATGTCCCCTGATGTGTCCTTCCCACACCTCCTAGGCCACTAGTCATGGGTATGGCAGTACGTACTGATGGATCCTGATGCAGGAGCAGGACCTCGGGCCCCTGCTACACATTACGTGTCTTACACAATTAACTGGCCAATAGTGCAATATGTTTAGACCAGCCACATATGCAAAGTAATTATCACAAGATAAAAATAACTATCTAGTTATAAACTCTTTTTATAACTATCTAGTTATAAAAAGAGCCAGCCAGCTATAAAGTTAGTCCTTGAAAACGTGTAATAACCAGTAGCTGGTTTCTATCCAGCTTTAAGTTGAAACTCCCTTCTTGAGAGCATGGAGACAGAAAGGGATCTTGGAGTCATCATTGACTCCAAGATGAACATGGGCCGACAATGCGAGGTCGTGGTCGGCAGGGCTAACCGGACCCTATCGTGCATCCACAGGTGCATCTCGAGTAGGGCCAAGGAGGTGATCCTCCCCCTCTATGTGACACTGGTCAGGCCACAGCTGGAGTACTGTGTCCAGTTCTGGGCTCCGCACTTCAAGAGGGATGTGGACAACATTGAGAGGGTCCAGAGGAGGGCCACCCACATGATCCGGGGACAGCAGGGCAGATCCTACAATGAGAGGCTACGGGACCTGAACCTGTTCAGCCTTCACAAGAGAAGGCTGAGGGGGGTCCTGGTGACCGTCTGTAAACTCACTAGGGGGAACCAGAAGGGTTTGGGGGAGACCTTGTTTCCCCTAGCGCCCCCCAGGATAACAAGGAACAATGGCCACAAGTTGTTGGAGAGTAGGTTTAGATTAGACATCTGTAAGAACTACTTCACGGTTAGGGCGGCTAGGATCTGGAACCAACTTCCAAGGGAAGCAGGGCTGTCTCCTACCCTGGGGGTCTTTAAGAAGAGGCTTGATGTCTACCTGGCTGGGGTCATTTGAGCCCAGTTTTCCTCCTGCCCAGGCAGGGGGTCGGACTTGAAGATCTACAAGGTCCCTTCTGACCCTACTTCTATGATTCTATGAATGTGTAGGATGGCCCTTAGTTTGGCATAAATTTTCCAATTCCAGGGTTCCCTTCCATATCCTTGCCCAGATGCTAAGGATCCCCCTCCTATTCTACCCCACTGTGCCAGAACCACTCATTAGCTGGCCAGTCCTTGCTGAATGATATATGATTCCTCCAGATTGACATTTCCCACATGACAGAGCCCAGAAAAGACCCTCTGTGTCACATAAGCCGTCAGGGGGGTGGGACACAAGCAAAGAGGCTTTGTAGGAGGTGTTCAGAGCTGGCATGGAGACCGGCTTCCTATAAATACCTCAAGAGTGTTGTTGGGTGAGGACTGGGGCATGTAGATCTGGGCTTGTGCATGTGGAGCTGTAGACTGATGCAGTTGCTGGAAAGAGAGGAGCCTACAGCATGGGGCTCGTTCATTCCCCAGCTCAGGGGCTAAGTACTTCCATTTCCTTTTGTCCCCATCTTGTGACTTGTTCCCCACCTAAAGCTCCTTTACTAAGGCTTTGTGCAGAAAGCAAGTCCAGTGCCAGCCTGCCCCCTGCTCCCTTCTGTCATTTCACCAACCCTGTCAGCCTGATGAGACTGAGAACAAGCCTGAACTGAACCCCGGCCTATCGCTTCACAATACAGATCTGTAACTGTCACCAGGCAGATCTGGAGCAAGTGTCGATGTTTAAAAACAAGCTGATTTATGTGGGTTTGTAACGAGAGTGTGATGTCTTAATGACAGGAATGTAAATCATTTGCTTTAACATTACGTGAAGAAAGTCTGGCCGTGCAGAGCTTTATAAATGAAAGGTACAGCTGTTGGGCTTGACTACCCAAGTGCAGATGTTTGCATTTGGGATGGTTTACATGGCAGCCAAAACATATGGACAGGCCACCTAGATTGGGGGTCACATTTTACAGTGTTTTTCCTCTTCCTCTTAGGATTGAATCCAGTGACCTCCCTTTGCTGGCAGCTGTAGCAAGCACTCACTCTCCATATGTTGCCCAGATACTACTTTAAAATGCCAAAGGGCATGGACGGTCACATTTTTTTTCCTGGAAAACAAAATGGAAGGCAAGGAGACAAACATGAAACGTACTTGTTCCAACTCCTTTTTGCTTGAGGCAACTGAAATGAACAGCTTGCCAAGCGGACTGGGTCTCCATAACTGACTGCACATTATGCACACGCATGGAGACTACTTGTATTTTTTTTCATTCTCCCACTTGGCCATTCATTTAAAAAAAAAAAAAAAAATTCAAAGAAAAAAGACAGTCTGAAAAGCCTGAGATTCTGAGTAGTGAAGAAAACCCAAGATCATGGAGAAAGCTGAAGAACTGAATATAGTTTGGGAAATTTCTCAAGGATGGCTAATTACATGTGGCTAAAAGTGGGTAACGCAAGGAAGAGCTGCTTTGTAATGATTTACAATGCTATCGCTGGTAGCAGACTTAACAGGAGAAGGAAGTAGCTGCCTTGAGATTTGTCTTCTCCTCTTCCAGGAATGTATTAGAAGTGTTGGTTTTCAAGCCTCAACGATTTGTAAACAACTTCTACTTTTTCATTACGCAGTGAAAGTCTGGATATTTCTCAGAGGAAAAGCAATTTTTGTAAACAGCTTATTACTGATACTCGGCTCTGAAATTCATTTGTAATCGTTCCTAGGGGAGGGAGAGGGAGCCAACAAGCAACCTAGCAAACGTCATCCTGTTTCCTTTTCTTGGCTTGACATTGTAACTGGTATTGAATGTTTATAATGTTTAGATGTCTCTTTATACTAAGTGATGCTCTTGTTTCAAGACTTATGAAAAACAGAAAGAATTCAATTTATAACCACCACTGCAACCAAAAAAGTTTCGAGAGAAAGTTGATTGAAATTTCCTGGCGGTGTGCCCAAAATGGCACGAGTACTACCTCTCACTACTTTTTTACAGTATATAATATTCTTGCAACATCCTATTGTTTATACAGCAGTTGGGCAGCGGGTGAAATAAGCTAGAAATAATTATACCAAAGCATTGGAGGAAAAAAAAATACACTATTACCCTTAATTGCTCAGGTAGCTAATTGCTATATTTTTAAAAGTAATTCTACAGATGCGGATACTGACTACACCATTGTGTAGTAATATCAAAATTATTTTTAGACAAAATATCCCCATGATGGAAATTATCTTAATCCCTTTTCTACCAACTTGTAACTACCAACAAGAAATGCTGTCCATCCCATTCTCAGCATTTCTCTTTCATTTCATTCATCGTTGTCATTGTATATACAATTGGTGTAAGAACAGCTGATGTGGAACCAATCTGCTGTAAGTAATGTAAATATGCAGTGGGTGGGTGGATTGTGCTTTCAAAAGGATCTACTACCTCAGTTTAACTGGACCCTGCATTATGTGCTTCTTTGCTTATGTGTCCTAGCAGCCACTTTATGTTGTTGATTATAGAGTTAATTTCCATTGACCATTTTCAGCATGCAAGAGTTCAACAATGTCTCAACAATGACATTGAAAGGTACTTCTTCACTCATTAGGTAAACTATATTTACCATTAGATACATACTGCATTATTTTTGTGACCATTTCTTCAGCGATGTAATGTGCTCTTGTGGTTTTGCCGAGTTGTGTTAAATACAAAACTATTTCCCTCCCATCTCAAACTTTAAAAAAGGTAAAATTTCAACCCCACTGAAGTCAACGACAAAGTGTGTCACTGACTTGACTGGGGCCAGGATGTCTGTCACCCAATATATTTGGCAGTAATATTAAAAATCAAAACTTAAATATGAGGCCCTGCAAGGGCAGACCTGTGCCATTGTCCTGAAGGCCTGGCCTGGGGTCTAAGTGTGATAGGGAGCCTAACTCAAACATGGGCAGTGTGGTTGAAGAAAGCCTGTCTGCATGTGCTAACTGCAGTGCTAACTGCTGCAGGTATGTGACTTACATTTCAGCTTCAGAATATTTCTCATTTGACTTCCCCTTTAATGTCCCCTTTTTACCATTTTAGTATTTTGCATTAAGTTGTAGAAAGAACCCAAACAAGTGGGTAAGGGCCCGAATGTAGCAACACGCGTATCGGTAACGCAAGATTGGGCTCTTAGGAATTTTAGGCTATCCTTGCTGTAACGGATGATATAGGCAATCATTGTCATTCTGAACATCATTCATATTTTGTGGTTAATCTGATCATGTTAGTGCTATTGGGCTCAGTACAACAAGGTGCCAGCATTTGGGACCTGGAGCATGAAAGCACTTTGAGCATGTGTTAACTTGAAGTCTGCATTGGTACCACTGGCTTCCTTGAGATAGCTCGAGTGTTCAGTCGAGCATGATTGCTGGCTCTGCCACAGTGCTGAGCGCCTTCTATGATTAGGTCTGTAATGAATTATTTCAGGCAAATGCTATGTTCTCCTCCTAGTTGTCCTTAGGTCAATCATGGTAATTATCTTAAATTCAGTTTGATCTGAAGAAATAGGTGCCCTCTGCTAGCTTGAAATTAATACTGCTTGAGAGAGAGAGGAGTTTGTTATTGGGCCTTGTTATATGGTAATTTTAGGCAGTTCCTGGAGCTCTAAACCCCCCTGGACTGTCCACACATTAACACCTTAAAGAGATTTTAAGCACTTACGCGGCTTAAAGTAATGCCACTCCAGAGTAAGATTATCTCTGATCCGCAGTATCCAGCTCCCACTCCACTAAGGTGTGGCCACTCCCCACAGATGTGCTGCCCAAGTTGAAGACCTCCAGTATCCCAGGGTCTCTCTCACCAGTTCTCTAGTGGCAACTCACAACTACAGCTCCTAGTCCTGCTCCTGCTCACCGGACCTCCAGTGGCAAGTCACAGCCATGCATGTGGGGGACAGTCCGAGAAGGTTTCTACATGTAGGGTGTATGTAGACGAAACGGGGGCCCTAAATTGAAGCGGTGGGTTTTATAAAAACACCGCTTCAATTTAGGGTTGATTTTAAACGCCTGTGTCATGCACACACCCCACTAATTTACCTGCTTCTCCGGCGGGGAGGGGAGGGTGAGCTGCTGATGGGCAGAGCAGTCCCTGGGCTGGGGCGGTGGGGGGCTGATGTTTCCCTCTGCGGCAGTGGCGGCCCCTCCCCCAGCGGCACCTCCCCGCAGGCACCAGGCTTGGGCGGTCCTGGGGGGGCACCGCAGCCATGCAGGGAAGCACCAGGACCAGGCCCCCGCGCAGCTCAGGCTGGCAGGCTCAGGGGGAGGAGGGGAAGATGAGGCTCTCTGCTTTTTCTTGGGTGGAGCCAGCTTTCCCAGACTGCTGCCAAGCTGCCTGCAGGGCTTCCTGCAGAGCTGTGGAGCTGCACAGATCCCGGTGCTTCACTCTGCAGCTGTAGGGGCAGCAAATAAAACTCCTCGGAGGAGTTTTAGTTTGCTGAGCCCCAAGTCATTTCAGGCGCATTATGCTGCCGAATATCCTACAGTGGCTGGAATTAATGCGCAATACGCCGCCAAAGCGTGCAAACACCGACACCATTAAAGCAGTACAAAAGTATTTAGCCCGCTTTAAAGTATTGTGCACACACGCCCCTCATTTCGTCTACACACAGCCTAAGGGTCTGACTGCTCCAAACTAGCACTAACACTGATCGCCTGTTGTGCGGCTCGCAGCATCGAGTGTAGTGAGGGCCATTCAGTGAATTGTGCTCTTCTGCCCAAGTGACCCCCCACCCCGAGACCATTCTAATGCGATCATTTGTCGGTCAGTCCTGTGCCAAGCGGCCACACATGCAGCTTCACCATTGTGCTCTTGCACTGTAGCTGTCGGATCACCAGTACTAGTTCCCCTTGTGACCCAAGTACTTGAGCTTTGGGGCTAAAAGTTATTGACCCTCTTCCTAACAGTATTGCCAATGAAACGTTAGCATGATGGGAAGTTTTCCTTTAACTTAACTATTAAGGTACGTGAAAATGGTCCGTACACTTGTTGTTTGCATATGTTTTTTTTTTAAAAAGGGATCTTTAACAGAGCTATAGGGTTGAATTTTTTTAAAATGTATCAACTTTTATGTACATAGAAAACTAATCCATTTTGTTTTTCAGTATTCCCAATGTTCATTAAGATGTCTTAATTTTCAGGTGGAAAACATGAAGTGTACTAGACACACAGACTAGCAAAATTATTTTAGTTGCAATTGGCAAAGATGGGGCTGCTAAGAACAAAAACAAAACAAAATAATAGGAGTCTACACCTTGCACACACTTTCCCAAGTCGTCGTTATAGATGTTTTATGACAATTTTTTTGCTTTCTCTAAATTATTTAGATGGTGGTATGTGTACAATGCTGGGTAAAATGTACATACTTGTTATCTCCTTTGGTTTTTTGTATATATTTCCCAAGATGTGCACTTGTATTATAATAACCATTCCCAATTTCAGGGGAAACTTTGTGCAATAAATACAGTTATGTCAATTTACTTGCTGGTGCTGGTTTCTCTTTGGTGTCTTCCTTTTAATTTTGTGGAGGCAGAGGGTTGGTGGGAGTGCCAGCTGTAGGAGGGAGAGCTTGGAAATTTTGCATGTGTGTTATTAGATGCCTGACATTTCTGTTTAGGTGTCCTTGTGATTTTTCAGAGGTGTTAGAACTGCTTCATTTGGGGCCTGATTTTAGGTGCCTAAAATCAAGTGTCAGAGTTTTAAGTTTGTTGGCTTCAGTTTCTATTAGTGTTGATCATTTCCAAGAGTTGCATTTAAAACCATCCCAGAAGTAAGCATACCCCATTTATACTTAGTGACTTGGTTTCATAAACCAAAGAGGGGAGCAGGGGACAGAGACTGCATACCCTAGTGGACAGTCGTGCTGGTTGTCTCCTCATTTCCAGATTAGCTGCAGCTTATCCCTACTTATGGTGAGGTGCAAGTGTTTGAATCAAGAGGAGGCCCTGCCTTCCTACCAAGTGTCAGCCGTGTGGGCACCACGTCCTTCTTTGCCTACCACGGCTCCCTTATTTGCCTTTGCGGGATGCTGCACTGGAGCAAGGCTGAGACCGTCTTTGCCAGGCTTTCCCTTGTTTCAAATTGAAATGTAACCAAATGTGCTCTCACCAAAGGTGAAGAAACCCCAGAATTCAGCACAAGTAGTCTGAAGAGAGGGATGGAGGCAACGAAAGGGGATTCTGTGCAAATAAAGCCAACCAGCCAGAGCTGTCACTTGACGGTGAGTTAGCTTGACCCCACCGACTTAATGCTATCCTGGATCTTATTTATTCACTTAGCTAAATCCGACTGGTGCCGGGAAGGTGT